AAGCAGGCTTCCTGCCGAGCAGGGAGCCTGATGTGGGGCTCGATCCCAGGACCCCGGGATCATGACCTGAGCCAAAGGCAGACGCTTAACGACTGAGCCACCCAGGTGCCCCATACTTTTTTTTTAAAGATTTTATTTATTTGTCAGAGTGAGAGTCAGAGTGCGTGCATGTGCACAAGCAGGGGGAGCGGTAGGCAGAGGGAGAAGCAGGCTCCCCACTGAGCAAGGAGCCTGACACAGGACTCGATCCCAGGACCCTGGGAACATGACCTGAGCCAAAGGCAGACACTTAACTGACCCAAGAATCACCCCCCCTTTTTTTAAAAGATTTTATTTATTTATTTGAGAGAGAAAGAGAGAGTGCTTGCACAAGCAGGGGGAGAGGCAGAGGGAGAGGGAAAGGGAGCAGCAGACTCTCCATTGAGCATGGAGCCAACGTGGGGCTCGATCCCAGGACCCTGAGATCATGACTTGAGCCAAAGGCAGACACTTAACCAACTGAGTCACCCAGGTGCCCCTATACTTTCTTATAAAAGTTTAACCAATTTAACTAGGGATATAGAATATGGGCTCTGAAACTAGAATACTGAGTTCAAATCCTGATTCTACAGTTGCTCTGTGACCTGAGACTAGATATTTAATCTCTTTATATCAGCTTCCCCATGGGAAATAAAAATCATACCTACCCCACAGCTGTTATGAGGAGTAAATTATTGAATACCTGTAAAATACCTATAACTGTGCATGACACAAAATAAACACAATGCATGTTAGCTCTTAATATTTTCCTTTTTATACATTCATCCCTACTGTCTTAGAGTAAGAACATGTAGGTATATGCAGAGGTAAAATTTCAGAAGTACAGTGCTCTAATTAGTGGAGTATCCTTTACTACTATTCTAGCAGAGACCTCTTTAAATCTATAGACTTCTACCTAATTGTAAGCAAGCTTTTCCACTTACCACAGAAAATGCTGTGCCCTCTCCAGTAGAATTCATGGCAGAGGAGATGTGACTTGAACGCAAGTATTCTTTTCCTATGGGACAGGGTGCTCGAGGCTCTGAAGGGTGGTAGGGTGGATGTAAAGGAATAGCTGATTGAATAGGCTCCCCTAGCTTCCTAGCACTTGGAATCACATCCACAGAAGGAATTTCCACTAGTTGGCAAAAATAATGTGGACATATTAACATGAGACTCTAAGAAATACATCATTTAATATATACACATACCTATAGATACTAAAAACCTAAATGACTTTAAGAATAGCTACATAAATTACACTTCATCCATGGGTTATAAAACTCGTTAGCCATTAACAATGATTTTATGTAATACTAAATAAAATCCCAGAGAAAACAGTAAGAAATGAGAATACTGTATTTTCAATTACTGTATTTTATTATTCCCTAATAATCTGAAGACCACCAACTGATATACTAATGTATTAGAGACTCATATTGTCCTAAGTCTTTAAGAGAAAAAGTTAAATAATAAAACAGTGGATGTAAAACATGCGACCAAAAACCATTTTAAGAAATCAGAGCTCATAATTAATAGCAAACATTTAAAATATGATCATGTAAAACCAAAGAGAATCATATAAAGTATAGAGCAACAAAAGCAAAAAGGCTAATAGCAACAGAAATTGTCCCAGGAACTAACTACTACCTCTAACTCACTAATAACACCTTACTACTCACTGTCTTCAACAAAAGATGTCCTGTTCTTGGACAAAAAACTAGGTAAGGGAGGGTGCGGCACTTCTTCATATGATATGGTTGAGGCTTTTTTGGACTGCATTTCATTAGGGCCTTTGGCACCTAGAAAAGAAAATATTAAAGGTAGAATTTTTTTGTTGCTGAATATTATACTAAAAATCAGGAGTTTCGTACCCAGAGGATAAAAATCTCATGAATGACATAATCATTGAACTGTGTTGGTCTGATTGCTCAAACTATGCATTACTTTTTTTTTTTTTTTAACCACGCATTACTTTTAATAACTACCAGAGAAGAAGATCTGGAACCACTAATACAAATTAAAAGTAAAGATTTACATCATATTACTTTTCTTTAGAAAAACAAGTGCCATAAAAATAGACACAAAGATCAAAAGAACAGAATAGAGAGCCCAGAAATAAACCCATGCTTATATGGTCAATTAATCTACAACAAAGGAGGTAAGAATATACGATGGGAAAATAGTCTCTTCAATAAATGATGTAGGAAAGTGGACAGCTACATGCAGAAGAATGAAGCTGGAGTACTTCAACACACCATACACAAAAATTACCTCAAAATGGATTAATAAACAACTAAATGTGAGACAAGAAACCATAAAACTTCTAGAAGAAAACACAGGCAAGTAATCTCTTTGACATCAGCTTTAGTAATGTTTTTGTGGTATGTCTTCTCAGGCAAGGGAAACAAAAGCAAAAATAAACTATTGGGACTACACCAAAATAAAAAGCTTCTGCACAGTGAAGGGAACGATCAACAAAGTGAAAAGGCAAACTACTGAACACGAGAAGACATTTGCAAATGATATGTCTGATAGAGGATTAATACCCAAAATATATAAAAAACTGATATAACTCAACACCAGAAAAACCCAGATTAAAAAATGGGCACAGGACCTGAATAGACGTTTTTCCCAAAGAAAACATACAGATGGCCAACAGACACAAGTTGCTCAACATCACTAATCATCAAGGGAAATGCAAATCAAAATCACAATGAGATATGGCTAGACTCAAAAAGACAAATAACAAGCGTTGACAAAGATTTCACGTGAAGAGAAAGGAATTCTTGTGCACTGTTGGTGGAAATGGAAATTGGTATAGCCACTATGGAAAACAGTATGAAGGTTCCTCAAAAAAGTAAAAATAAAAATACCACATGATCCAGTAATTCCACTACTGTGTATTTACCCAAAGAAAAAAACACTAACTTGAAAAGATATATGCATCCCTGTTTATTGCAGTACTTAAAACAGCCAAGATACGGAAATAACCCAAGTGTCACTGATAAATGAAGGGATAAAAGAGATGTGGTGTACATGTGTACACACACACACACACACACACACACACACACTTAGTCATAAAAAAGAATGAGACCTTGCCATTTACAACATGGATAGACTTAGTAATTATGCTAAGTGAAATAAGTCAGAGAAAGACAAATACAATTTCACTTACATACAGAATCTAAAAAACAAAACATATGAACAAAAAAAAAAAAAAGAAGAAACAGATCCACAAATACAGAGAACTGATGGTTTCCATACAGGAAGAAGTAGGGAGAATGGGTAAAATGGGTAAAGTGGAGTGAGGTACATAGGCTTCCAGTTATGGAATGAATAAGTCACAGGGATGAAAGGTACAGTAAAAGAATATAGTCAATGGTATTATAATAATGTATGATGACAGATGGTAGCTATACTTGTGATGAGACTAGCAAATATATGGAGTTGCCAAATCACTATGTTGTACACCTGAAACTAATGTAATATTGTGTCAACTATACTTCAATTAAAAAAATTACTAATATGTACTATATAGTTACATTTTAAAAAATCATATGAGATACACATTTGCGTATCTGTAAGGAAAGAAATCAAAATGTTAACAGTGGTTTTCTCTAGGTCAGAGGTTGGCAAACCATAGCCCAAGGTCCAAATCTGACTCATCAACTGTTTTTGTAAATAAAAGTTGTTTTAAGATTTTAAGTAATCTCTACATCCAACGTGAGGCTTGAACTCACAAACCGGAGATCAAGAGTCACACACTCTACTGACTAAGCCAGTCAGGCACCACTGTAAATAGCTTTATTGGAACACACTCATATACAAAGAGGTGCCAGAACTGTAGGAACGCTGTTATGGGGGTATATCCCTGAGCTAGGAATCTTGGCTGATACAATAAAAAAATTTATAGGTCAAATTGTTTTGTCTAATTTTTGAATGCTTATTTTTTTTTTTTT